TGGAGACTCGTGATTCTTGGTAAATTTAATATTTATTTGAATACTTAAATCAAACTAGAGAGTTACATGTGTGGCTGTCCTATTTCTGGCTGAGCGTTAAAATAAAAGCGGAAGTCTTTAAAACTGCTAGAGCTGTGCCAACAAGCGAAGACATAACATTTCTCCCTTTAACAAATCGCCTGTTAATATCTTCAGTTTATCCACTTAAATAACTACGAAGCCTCCTTCAAGTTTAAGTTTATATTCTTTTAAAATATTACATAAATGTTGTGGACATGTTTACTACTTTGTAATAACAGTCTCATAAGAAAGAGAAACGTTAACGTTCTGTAACAAAGTTAAAGGCAGCTGGAACTTCACTGAGTGACTCGCCACACCTCACAGGAGGTTTTTAAATAAGTTGTTTTAAGACTGAGAGCTTCTGGATTCAAAACCCTTCACGTTTTAAGTACTCTTTGTAAGGGACACACATAAGCTAAAACATATATATTTTTATGGTTATTTAACTTAAACTCAGCACACGAGCCTTTATCACGGAGTGAAGCAGAAACCATGAACACACTGAATCTTTTCTAGCAGTGTGCAAACTTTCATCTAGGATGAAAGTGGAAAATTCCTCCAGTAAAACTCCAGCAATATGAGGAGTCTTCAAAAACCTGGACTGATGCAAGAAGACATTAACAAACATTCACTGTATTCAGTCCAAGAAAGACAATAAGAAGACCATACAGTGACACCAACCACAGATAACATGAATGCATCTTCAAAAGCAAATAAAGTTTATAAAAACAAGTCAAATTGTACTGTTCCACTTCATAAAGGCTCTGCACTTATTCTGGTGCTGTAAAGTGCTTGAAATCTGAATCACTAAACTACTCATTATTCAGCAGCAAATAACTACTTAAAATCATTTTTTATTTGTTTTTTGTTTAAGAAATATTTGCATGTAAACAAAAACTGAAATCTGATACTCCTATTTTAATTTGACAGCAGTTTCAGAATCGGAATCAGAAAGGGTTTTATTGCCAAATGTTGAGCGGGTTTACATTAGGAAATTGCTGCGGTGCTTCAGTGCAAACATACTGTTATAAATTAAGCTTAAATAGACATGAAAATAAAAATAAGAATAAGAATTAAAAGTGCTAAGTAGATAGATATATACATGATATATACATGAGTGCAGGTGGTGATCAGTGCCAAACATGGAATGATGCAGTGAACACAGCGTAGGGTCATGTGTTAGTGGTGGGAACAGTTATAAGGTTATTGTTCATGTGTTCAACAGCAGAGGGGAAGAAACTGTTCTTATGGCGAGAGGTTCTGGTGCGAATGGACCGGAGCCTCCTG